ACGTTGGTAATTACTTGCGGCGATTTTAACTGTAACGACATCCCTCGGCTGCACACTCTCGGCTCTACAAACGTAGTCAACTTCAGCACATATGGTGATGCGAGTTTTGACTTCGTTTTCAGCCAATATATATATAGGTTCAGCACTGTGCCCATTGGTCACCGTATCCATCGGTTGTAAATTAAAAACAAAAAGAATATCAGAGTATCACGCATATCTGAACCCAAAAGCGCAGCACAATGTTTACAGTCCGTTCTGAACATCACTCATGTCACTAAGATCACTAAAATCTGAAACAAGTGAACGAAATTGTAAAGCCACTGAAGACCGAAGCGATGCATAATTCTTTTTAAAAGCATAGTTCTAAAAAATGTCCTCCGATTGTCGAGAAAGCAATTCATGTTTAACAATTAAACTAAATTTAACAATGACCTACGTGGTAATTTTTCTACTTAAATACGGCATAAATTACAACACAATACAAAACACCTAGCTGAGGCAAATCTGTTGGAAAGAAGAAAGCGACGTCTGCGGCAGCAATGAATGTTGCCTAATATCAATCTAGCACTGTTTATAAAGGTTAGAGATATAAATCTAGGTTTGTTTCGCGTTTAAGCTCTGACAGCCTCAGAAGACGATCGCAAAACAACAACAAACAACCCAGCTGCGATCTGACCCCAATTAATTATACTGCCGATTATTTTGCATTTGATTTCACTCATAGCTGAACCATTAAATGTTTGACATTTCGTACGCACAAACAACAATTCATCCCGATATTCCGAGTATACTAGTACATTGATAGTTTACGATACCGCCGGAGCGAACAACAGTCTCGTGTCACTACTGCATGGGTATTCGCGCTGTAACCTTGCTTTTACCATCCTAGGGGACAAAGTTTTGTTACTAATAAACTTTTTATGCGATTTCGTCCTGTAAAGAATTTCTGAAGTTTTGAACTGTATTCCCACATGAGATCTCAACCTTAAATTTTGTAAACTTTCTACAAAAGGTAATGAAAATTGAAGACATCGGGTATCGAGTGCTCTTCAACCAAAACGAATTCACTCATGAATGCAAAAGATGCCATAAATCCCATCTGACTGATCTTGAAGCTGCTAGGCATCCAGATGATCTACGAACATCCAATTGTCGTAATGCAATCGAACACAGAATGAACGCGCTGGATCGACCATCGCTGCGACATCCCAAAACTTGTCAATGAACAAATCCGGATCTCTCCCAGTTTTAGAGCATAATCCCTGTTTATGGAATGCTTGAAGGACTGAATTCACTCCAATCACCATACTTTGGCGAATGTACTTCGAAAAGCTAATAGTCTGTATTCAAGCAGAATCGATCGCCTATCTCATCGCGCTAAGGTGACATGCGGATCCTCAAGAAGTAGTTAGCTTATTCAGTTTATTTTCGTTATTCAACGTTCATCTGTCACTTGTAATACGCTCCATTATCCTTGATCGAAGCGGCAGCCGATGTGCAAGACACTGTACTATGTGCAACCTATCCGATACATTATCCATATCTAGTCTTTCATGAAAAATATATTTGCTATGGACATGTGCTATCTCCCTTTTCCATCTTAAATGAATGCTACTCGAATTTTTGCCGAGTTGATCCCTTTCTTTGTTGAAACAGACCTCGAACTTAGGGGATGCAGTTTGTATCCACCTCAGGCTTGATACTGTTAGCTCAACCGGGTTTGCTGATCAGTGAAGTGTCAGACTGAGAATGGGGGGATGGACAATTCTCGGATTATACCTTTGGTCAGTAAGTTTACTCGATTTCTTGCTTCTTAGTTCGATAAATGAGTACCATTTTCCAAGAAAAAACAGGACACCACGTGCTATAATGATCACAGAGCTGCAGATACATACTGAGAATGACAAAATAAGGCACTCAGCTTATGGCCTGACAATGAAAGTTTAGCGCTGCAACTTACGGTTCGCGGCAAAAAAATCATTTGTAGCCGATGGTTCCCCTTACTCTTTGATGATTAGGTTTCATTTGTTGCGTCCTTCTTCTTTTCATCACGTTTATGAAGCGGCGCTGATCTTCGCTTGGGTTTCGTCAGCCATGACTGCTCTATTTTATATTTTATGATAGGGTCTACTGTTACGTGACAACCATAACGTGCCGTTTCCTGTTTCCTTTGTAAAGAAAGAAATAACGACAAGGGGGCCACAAATGGAAATCACATTATAAAGTAGTCCGGCATAGCAACATCTGCAAACTTTTGTTTTTCTTTCGTCTTCTGTCATCGGTCTCAGCCATCGATGAACAGCCGGTAGACGTTAACATTCTTAGGCCTCACATTAATTAATATACTGATATTGTAGCGAAGAGTTCTTTCCGCCACTTCAGACCTTCATTAATTTATAAACTGCTAATTTTACCTCAAAAGCACAAAATCGGTACTTCAGTGGCATGTTGTTGGGAAAACGACACAAATAAACGCAAGAATAAAAAGGAAAACAAACGCATACCGTAATATCGCTTTTCCGCTTTCTAATCGTGTCCGAAATAAACTGAATGGCGGATAACATAGCGGCAGTAGTGATTCCTCGATGCTGGTCAACAGGTTTCTTCGAACGACTAGGACTTCAAGCAAAAGCCATACAGAAAGAAGGTTGAACGAATTCGTAAGTGTTGGTACCCGTGTTTTTCACACCCACATATATTCGCGGCTGTGACCTGAACATAAATAAGTAACATAATAAAGGGAACAATCTGTTGACACGCGACCGCAAGAAGCGCTGCTGTAAACCGAACTACTCGCGCTTGCACTGTCAGTCTCGGGTACGTCCTCGCCACAAAACGAGGGTCAACCTCAGTCAAAACGAGTCACATCGAAACTTAATTAGAGTACCTTTATGGAAACAAAAAAAACTGAGTTTGGTGAGGGGAAACGCGAGTACAAACAAAAAACGTGATACACATATCTGCGTCTCGAATACAACGATGGTCGAAGAGTCACGTTATGTAGCCAGTTATATAGTCACGTTGACTTCCAGAGCTAGTAACAATTGACTAGCTAAATCACGCAACGATCAACCCCCGGTTTAAAAATCAGCCACTGCCAGTAGAACTTCGAGATCTGAAAGATAAGGTCGGCTCTGACATACAAACTGTCTGGCAACTACGTAGTTTCCTCTAGCCCAAGAGCTACACAGGTAATAATAACACGAACAATTACGAATACTGCTGCTGTTTGTGGTGATTATCATTTCTTGAGCCGTTTCTCTTAGCAAAACATCGCTTGCTTCGGATATCCGTCGTACTCTCATATTTTGCAGGCTTTGCAATAACAATCGGTTACTGAATGCAGAAGAAGAAAAGAAGCTCCACTCACAACAAAAAAAAATTCCCTCTGTGCTGTTCATCCACGCTGCACATTGACCTTAATGTCTAGGAGAAGACTGCCGTGTTTTCCACGTGAGAAACTCATGATATGGCGTGAATTGACTACGGCTAGTCTAACTGTTTACTAGGGCGTTGTATTATTACGGAAATCCGAGGTCTAATCTGTAAGACTGCAATACAGTTTCGTGGATAAGATCACTGTGCAGACTATTTAGGGCAGTTCTGCGTCCTTCCCTGAGCGGACACTGCAAGACACCACCTTTTGCAAGATATCGCTTACACACAGATTTGAAAGTCTGCTCCTCTTGTAGGAGAACTACATCATCCCGAAAACAAAAACTGAGCTGTACAAACAATTGACTAACTAATTAATTAAGGCTTACTATACCCGAAGATCCTTTGCCCATTTCAATTCAGCTATAAAACAAAACAATGAGATGACTTGAAAGATTACTTGAAGGCTTTTAAAGATCTGCACGCTGTAAGGATCATAAGAGACTCGTTGGGTGAAGTCTGCGGAAGAATCATGAACGATGTATGGAAAAAAACATTGCACATGACTATATGATCAAAACTTGATCACGGCTCCAGAAACCGATCATGTTGCTGAAGTAACAGAAGAAGCGATCGCTCCTTTTTCATAACGTGGTTTGTAGGTTGAAGATATCATGGAGCCAGTGAACTCCCGTAACAAAGAGCTCACACCATATGATATTATAGAAATGCATAATCAAAATACTGTAGAAAAAGCTGAAAGAGACTGAATCGGAACGGAGACTAGCACGTTGACAGTCAGAAAGTTAACTTAAAGCCTTGAATTGATTGAGGCCGGTCCAAAAGTTCTAGAGGAAATCGATCTGAGCGATGACCGAGCAGCAACTGCTAGACAAGGCATAAAGAAAACGATCGCCTATTCCAAAGAAATATCATTGGAGAAAAAAACTTTTATCACGCCAGAATTCACTACTGGACTTCCTAAAATCATCCTCTCCTAAGTAAAAACTGTTGTATGTTCATTTTTATCTTATTTAATGCATATTTTTGCAATAAAATCGTTACAATTCTCCCACAACTGTTGCACTTTTATTGATCGAACTGACTCTCAAGAACTGGCTATGTCAGCTTAGTATGGGATTGCATGAACTTTTCTATATCGACTTAAGTCGCTGACTGTAGAAACAACTAAATCATAACTTCAGCGTATGATTGTACTTGTCTAACTGTTGCGTGATGTAT